CGTATCCCCGCTCGACGCTGTATTCCTTCTGCAGATTTTTGAGGAAAGCGTGCATTTAGAGTACCCCCTCACCAAATCTGCTGGAAAATAATTACATATCGAACATTGGAACAGTACAGATCAGCTCCACAACTTTTCCTTTCGAAGCGATTGTAGAGCTGGGTCATTCGCATCGAACTGTACTCAGCAATATGGTGTACATGAGCAATATCCCGTCTAGTTGGGCGTCCACGAAACGCAGGGAGATGTTATGACCCTCCCAGGAGTTGACGCCCTCGCGTTACGTCGCGAAGTTAAGAGGGAGGCATACGTCACTCGCAACTCCGTTACCGATTTCAGACGGCGATGGAAACGCCAAGTTAGTGGAACTCATAGGCGGTCAGTGTGTCAAAGAACGGTCAGGAGTCGGTTGCAGGAGTTTCATTTAAAGCTACGACGTCCCTGTTTCTGTTGGCTACTTAACGCCAACTTCGAATGTAGTGGCTGCTTGCAGATGCACCTAATCAGTATCGTTTTGGCCATTGGAGACGCGTGTTGTTCACTGACGAATCTCACGTCACGTTTTACAGGTCAGATGTACAACAACGTGTCTATCGACGTCGATGTGAGCGATATCAGACACTTAGGTAACGTAAAGCGATAGATTCGGGGGATGGTCTGTTATGCATGGGCTGGAATATCTCAAAGCGTGAAAACACCTCATGTGTGTATCCATAGAAAACTTACAACAGTAACATATCGGGATCAGGTCTTGAGAACACATTTCCTTCCTCTTATCCAGTAACGTAACGTACGCTGCAGAAGGACAACGTGATCACCCATGTCGCTAGGGTTTGTCGTGACTTTCTGGCTCAAAACAACGCCCCCAATTGTTAATTGGCAACCATACAGTCTAGGTGTTGTATGATATCCACACAGAGTAATTTTTATGTTGTTGCTATTAATCATGGGTCAGATTTTGAAGAAGTTTTTATGAACTGCATGTTGTATGGTACTGTTTGAACTTGGCTAAAATCAAGTTTTTCTCCATCTGTTGTCTGTTATCCATGTTTTAATTTTGCGTATAAATTTTACAATTTGAACAATGATTCATTTGTGTGAAGCAATTTTGAAGCTTCATAGAACTCCTTTTGCAATTCAATGTCATCAAGGGCGAAACAGCTGTATAGTGCATTTTTCGTTTAAGCTAACCTCATGTGCTGTACAGTCCTGTTTTTTTTCATGTACTGAACTTTTTTTGCAGATATGCAATTATTGAACATGATCTTGACAATGGGATAGTCGTTCGTTATCCCGAGGAATACAAATTCAAAGTTCCATACGTTTCCCGCCCTCTGGATCAGATACAGATGAATACACATTGGACTACATTGAAAGGGGAACTGGCTGATTCAAGACTAATTACAGATTTGTATGGTATATATGAAGAAGGACAACTAGCGACCTTGCCTTTTCCAGACAACTGCAATGATGACGTACGAATTGTTTTTACCATGAAAGTAAATCGTTCACCTCACTGTGGATATTTTGCATATACCCGGGAAAATATGAGATGGAGGAAAAAATCCGTGAAACTGAAGGTGAGAATACATCCACACTCAACTCATAAATAGGTTTGTCAGTATTTTCTAATATCAGTTTTATGTCATCATTAGTGTCTGCTCATTTCGTAGTATGAAAACTTTATTTTCTGGTCATAAAATAATATTTGTAAGATTTAGTTTAAAGTGTTTTTAACAACAAGAAATCATTGCTAAATCATAGATAAATATATTAAGATACGTGCTAAATAGTACGATATTACAAGAGCATTAGCCAATGAAATAGTGACATGGAGACCATTGAAAAATGCATACGATTAAGACCATTTTGATGGAAAGTTAATCGTCTTCTGGTTTGTCTGAGTGAAAAACTAAACAAAAAAACAAAACAAAAGCAAAAGCAAAGAAAAAAAAAAAAAAAACAACAGAAATAGAAATCACCTCTTCACCTATGTTTGATGCTGTCTGTAAAGCTACCATAATTATTTGTCAGGTACAAGGGATTTTACTTACGTTCTGCGTTGGAAAGATCTCCGAGTTAATCTTAATTTTGATATTTTTTTTTAAATATTTATATATTATACGCTTACTTTTCCAGAACATATGATCATATTGTCCGTTTATTTTAGGAATGTCATTTGTAAATCTCTGTTTATTCAGATTTTAGCCCAGAAAAAATTCTATACTAAGAAACTTTCTTATAAACAGGATAATACTGCTGAATTCAAAGGTGGCGCATGTGACATTATCTTTTTGATTTCTGAGCCGATCACCCACAGAATCGAACTTGGACCAGAGGGAAAAGAATATGTATGCAAAGAAGACGAAACGATAAAAATAATTTTCCCCCGTGACTGTGTTACACAGAAAGAAACTCTATATATCCAGGTAAAAATATTGCACTTTCTTCAAACCTGATGCGGTTCAATTATTGAATTTCCACTTAGTGTTCAGACGGTCATCACTGTACCAAGAATTGAAAGGAATGATTATTGTACATGGTCTAATTGTAATGAATACTAATAATATTCTATATATTTCGTCAGGAAACATGATATTGGTTACATACCGCACTATGTTATCATAAATGGCATAATATTTTAAAGACTCAAAGGTGTCTTTAGTCATATTATAGTCAAAGCGGGTATATTGAACTTGGTTTGAATATATTTCATATATACTCTATCAATCCGATAACGATTTGTTCTTCTCTCATATTTTTGTGATGGGACAAATTGTTTTTGCTCCGTTTCTTTTTCTAATCATGAAATCATCCCAACAGAGTCGGGGAAAAGTATTGTTATTGTTCCGTTCTTTCTTCTTTTGTCGTCATATATCAGACACTTTCGAGTAGATAATCATCAAACCATATATATATCATCATCATCAACAGTATCATGAAACGCAGATGAAAAACCAATTTGATCTCGACCTCTTTGACAATTCTACGAACCCAGACTTACTAAATAATATTTTGTCGGCGTACATATTGGCAAAAACCAAACAAATGAAATGACTTTACACAAACGCACCCACATGAGTTACAATTAAAATAATAGATGGTTTTCAGTGCGCATGAAAGTGTGAAAAACATAAATTTGACAGAATGCATAATATCATATCATCGCAGGTGTCTTTATAAAGGAATCCACTGTATTATGCAAAATGGCCGCCACACGCATGTTTATGATTGGTCGGAATTTATACTTTGTCCGATTTCCATGACAATTGATATGTCGGATTATTATTATATACATTATATATATTATTATTCTACCCTTATTTCACGTTTTGAAAAAAATGGCCGCTTTTTTCTGACCTTTGATTGGTCGATATTATTTTTTCTTTTATAAATTGAACTTTATTGCATTAAGAACATTTGTGAAACAAGTTTTCTAAACTTATATTTATCACTCTTGTTGTCCCGCATGGAAACGCGCAAGGGGAAGGAAACAGGTGTACTCCGGGGAAACCCACGTGGTCGGGCAGGTGACCCCATTCTACTCGGCAGCCCTAGTGCCATTCGACCAACCTTTATATATCGTCCGATTTCCATTAAATTTGGTATGGAGGTGCATTTTGAGGCGCTAGCAAATGGATTCCCAAGTTGTGTTGCAATTGTAGTTATTATTCTTATTGCTTCCGCTTTCGTTCACCTGCGAGGTTTACGACTCATTTCTCGAAAACTATAGGATGGAATTCAGTTTTCATGTATGATAGGCGAGAGCTTTTTCTTCCTTCGATCGGTCATCTGACAGTTAACAGCAGCATGATAGATCAAAACTTCGATTTCGGTATAGCCCGAAAAAAATTGGTATATAGATATTCGATTTTCAAAAGGACTGATATTGTCTGACATCAGTACCACAATGATGAAGTCGTTGTTTTTCTTATTTAACATAATGGCCCCTGAGGGGATGGGGGAGGGGCTATATAATGGTCTCCGTTACCATGAACACTTGTTTTCATTGCTTTGGCACCTACCCATCTAGATTTTTTACTTTTTCTTCGATAGCTTTATATTTGCTTCGGTCGCCTCATAAGCCTCAAAATTTAGGCCCTTCACTGTCAAGTCCTAGACGAACGAAATTGCTGTATGTTACAGATTAATTTATTGTATACTGTATATTACTCAACTTGTGTGTCGTTTGTACAATCTTTTATTCAAACAGCGTTTTCATGTATTTCAAGGTTATTCCACAAAACAATGATGGCCCATTCTACGTTGATCATGAACCCTGCATTATAGGTGCTTCCAAATCAGTACATGTTAAGCACAGAAAAGGAATATTCAAAAAGCAGATGGAAATGCAACTTGATCTCGACCTCTTTGACAACTCTACGAACCCAGACCTAACTAAATACAATTTTGTCGGTGTACATACTGGCGAAAACCTAAAAGAAATGACTTTACACAAACTCGCCCCCGAGAGTTACAATAAAAAAGGTAGATGGTTTTCGGTCAGCATGAAAGTCGACGATTTACGCAGGTATCGTAGAAATAATATTCAATAAAACGAAAAAATCAAATCTGTTTCAAGCTGTATGTTCCAACGTTAGAAATATTAATCCTTTAGTACATGATCAATACTCTCAAAGATTTGTTGGAAGCTTGAGAGACGATTTTTGTTAGCCTAAACATTTTCATAAGAATAATTTTATCATTAAAGAGAATCTTACAGCCAGATGTTCGTTGGCACACGGGCGTCTTGATTAACTTTCAGCAAAGAAAGGTAATAGATCCTAAAAAAATGTCGACTTATTGATAAAAAAGCTAGTTGCTTTGCTTTCATCTTGATGTTATAATCATGTATCGGTCCTCATTGGAAATGATTACAACAGGGTGTTATAAGATGCCATTTGCATGCATGTCTGTGTACCTAAGTAACTGCCCAGCCATTAAGGTATATTTGTTTTCTTATCGACAGTCATAACATCCAGCTTGGAAACCACAAGAAAATGAGTACGGATACAGGAAAGCTCCGTGTTCTAATGGCACTAGGTAAAATATTTCATTGCCACATTTTGGTATTTGCAACAAGAAATGCTTGCAGTTACCAGGGAAAATGCATCCGTGTAGAATGCGTGGAACGTAAACAGGTTAACGAAACTACAGAAAAGCTTTCTGATATGCAGCACGGGTTCGAGGAGTTAGTAAATTGTCGGTCACCACCCATTTTCCTTGAAGACGGAGACAGAATACGCATCAGCTTACGAGGTGGAATAAAACTTCCACTGGGATTCAGAAAAGATCAAATGATTATAACATTCCTCCTTGAAGGCTTACAAAAGCACATCGTTTTTCCAGTGGAGACTCAAATAGGAAACAGACCAGTTCATTTTGGTTACTTAGACTTCAACCGAGTCGACGGTCACAGAGAATTGATTTACGAAACTTTCTTTGATGCTGACTTTACGTTTAGGAAGATGTCACAGGGTAGGTATATCAAAGACATTAATGTAGCGGCACAACGATGGTTTAGAATTTCATTTACTACTTCAAATCCGTTAGGTCAGTTACTGTTTACCTACAAAACAAATATAAAGATGTGTTTAATAGCTAACAGAAATAAGTAGTAACATAACGTGTCAACAAATTGTCGTATACCTTTAGGAACTGCCACAGCAGCAAGTCCAACAATGTCCTTGGGGATAGGAGATCGTTCAGCCAACTTAACACAATGTGAGTATTTTGTGTTATGCCAAAGTCCATCAGCATGGTTAACATAATGTAAGTACCATGATTCAGTGTCATGTCTGGGACATCACTAATTTGACGCTGTAGTTAATTCAATCCAATAACAGACGTGCATCTGGATATGAAGATTTAAGGTAGGATTTTTTCCCTTAAACTTATCGGTGAAAATAAAATTTATTTATTTATGTTCAAAGCTTCCTTTTAAGATTTATTTTACCTGTATGACCCGATTTCAACTGTTTTATCTATTTTCATCGACAACATCATGTTTAGTGACGATATCGTTGTCACCGGATGCTGCAAGGCTGTATACATCTAGCTCAGCACGAGGTAAGATTTGCCGTACCCTGCATGTCCCGTTTTTATTCATTCAAATATTGCACTACACGGTTCAGAGCATACACGTGTTTTTTTTAAATTGTCTGATGTATACCAAAAGGCTTCAGACTTTTAACCCTTAGCATCACTGACGGGTCTTATAGGAACGAAACAAATGTATGATGCAGTTTAATTCATGGTTTAGCTATTCTTTATCTGAATTTGTAGCAAGATGTGTTATTCATTTGTGTTTCTTTTGGATAATATTTTCCCCGTAGATATTTCTATCGCTATCACTCGCACAGCCTCAAACATCAACTGCGAGGCTCAATGATGACAATTACAGCCGTCAATCAATCTTATCAATGCCAAATATACTTCAGATTTTAACTTTGATCATCAACGCGCACTTTATTACACACAGCCAGGGAAACAGTTACACTCCTTATTAAAGTTAACGAACAGTGGAAATAGAAGCACTAACTGCTTAATATCATATTATAATAACCATGAAACTCATTCTGTAAAACCGGAAAATATGTAGGAGACAAATGCATGATTTCCTCCCTTTTTTCATGCAACAATAACAGCAAAATATAATAGATATGAAACATTGGAATCGGAAATCTACATTTTTTGTGAAAGTATAAAAGTAAAATAATTTCAATTTTGATTTTCATTTTTGAAATAAATTTTCTGAAATTGATTTGCTTAGAGGGTAGAAATTCAGTATTACCTATTTTGACTTTATTGACATCATTTTCTTGTCTTTTCCAGGCACAACAGAAGATCAGCAGGTCACGATACCCATTGTCCTAGAAAGAGTCATCAATACTTTGACAACTTCGATTCCACCCAAAGATTGGAAATTCGTATTGAGAGCTATTATCGGTACGTCAGTGAAAACAACAAGTAAATTCAACATGTCGACAATTGTGTATACTTTTAACAATTCATCGATCTGTTCATAAAGTTGGAATAAATATCGGATTTCTATGCGAGTAGATAAATTTCACGTTTAGTCAGCATATCTTTATCATAGTATCCATAGTCTTAACTTAATTCTAAGGAAGAAAAGATAATAATTAAGGCTTGCTGTTTCCGATAATCTATAAGGTTTATCAATCAGTTTGATGAACATCCGCAACAGTTTGACAAATATTAATTTGTCTTACAGGTAACAGTGGGCTGAATTCCGAGAACATCATTTCGGAGGCAGAGTGTAACCACAAAGGTGACGTGAAGGAGGCCATCTACCAGTCGCTAACGAGATGGGCTTACAAGACAAGCCTTACGACAACAGAACAGAAATTTAATGCAATTATACAAGGACTTTTACATGAAAATTTCGACGCAATTGCAAACGATCTGAAAGAAAAATATGATAAACTTTGATAAACTGAACGACCGTGTACACATGCGATTAGTGCTATCCATATAGATAATACGAACATGACCGATATATCAATGACACCAAGTAGCTTTAAATGGAGTATTCGTGAATTGATTTATCAAAAGAATGTGTTTATAAAATATTGACCATTGTAAAGTGCACGTATATAATACCGTAAACGTAGTATTCTCCTGTAGTGGTATATATATACACCGTGACATCGTTGTATATAATTATAAATTCGGTATTATACTTCTACTGATAGTCTTGGGTATGCCGTGCCATGCTTCAGCACTAGCTTAGAAATAGGTAAACAATGTCATTCACATGTACTGTTGTTTTATTACGTTTTTTGTGTCATCTCTACGTACTGGTATCTAAATATAGGATACCTTGTCATCTTTCTGTACAGGTATATAATTAGGATACTGAGTCATACACCTGTACTGGTGTATAATTACGTTTTTGTGTCATCTCTACGTACTGGTATCTAAATAAAGGATACCTTGTCATCTTTCTGTACAGGTATATAATTAGGTTACTGAGTCATACACCTGTACTGGTGTGTAATTACGTTTTTGTGTCATCTCTACGTACTGGTATATATAATAAAGGATACCTTGTCATCTTTCTGTACAGGTATATAATTAGGATACTGAGTCATACACCTGTACTGGTGTTTAATTACGTTTTTGTGTCATCTCTACGTACTGGTATCTAAATAAAGGATACCTTGTCATCTTTCTGTACAGGTATATAATTAGGATACTGTGTCATACACCTGTACTGGTGTGTAATTACGTTTTTGTGTCATCTCTACGTACTGGTATCTAAATAAAGGATACCTTGTCATCTTTCTGTACAGGTATATAAGTAGGATACTGAGTCATACACCTGTACTGGTGTATAATTACGTTTTTGTGTCATCTCTACGTACTGGTATCTAAATAAAGGATACCTTGTCATCTTTCTGTACAGGTATATAATTAGGATACTGAGTCATACACCTGTACTGGTGTGTAATTACGTTTTTGTGTCATCTCTACGTACTGGTATATATAATAAAGGATACCCTGTCATCTTTCTGCACAGGTATATAATTAGGTTACTGTGTCATACACCTGTACTGGTGTTTTATTACGTTTTTGTGTCATCTCTAAGTCCTGGTATAAATAATAAAGGATACCTTGTCATCTTTCAGTATTGCGTGTGCATGCAAGTAGCTCGGATTCCTTTCTAAGATATAATATCATCCATCGCATTTTAAATTATAATGTTTGTAATGGGCACGAGAACTGTTATTCCATGGTGTTTAGCAGCTTTGTAAAACTGCATTAACAGAATTTTCCAATATAATCAGAAATTGTTCAATATTCCACAGTATCGTAATATTGAATTATTTATTTAACTACAACAAAACAAAAAAGGGATTTTTTTTCCATCAAGCCTATATCAAGACTTTTAAAGAAAAGAATGACAGTCTATGATAATCACTACAATAAAGTATAATTTGGTGACCTATTTGGTGACTTTAACCTTTGACGATAATACAAGTTCAACATACACCAGCTACAGAATGTACCTGAAATCTACTTAATTTTAAGTGATAAAACTCGTACACTGAAAAAGTTGACAAATTACAAATGAATTTTGCGGCTTAAATCTTAGAGTGGAATAGACTGCTAAATCGTGTGATAATCGAAATTCTGAACCTTCAGGTGTCCTACTGAAGACAGTTCAGCTATATCTAAAAACTCAGAATTTTCTTGTCCATTGCCTAACTTCTTCTTCCACTTGCCTGTTGAAGAAATATCCTTCATCCCCGAAAATTGCCCATATAAAAAAGCAAAAAAAAAAAAAAATTAATTAAAAATTTTAAAAAAACCCACCCCAAGGGAGGATGTAAGACCCCAGGGCCGTGAAATCTACAAATTTTGTAAAACATCTAATGTTTTCCATCGATAGAATGTATTTACTTATTCCATATCTTGAAATTGACAACTTCAATGATACAGGTATTCCCACGGACATGTGTTGGTGAAATCAACCGATTTGCCATACCTATAGAGCATAACAAAATCATGTCTCATACTTTCAGCTTCTATAACAAAGATCAAGAAGAGTATACATGATTTAAGTATATAAGTGACACATTTCCTAAGTGTCAATTTTTGCTCAATCAAATGTTTTGAAATTACATAAATCTATACATCTAATACATGATTACATCAATGTATTTCATTATGGAACACAATATTTAATATAATCATCATCTTTTCTATACTTACATACCTTGACTTGATAAATAAAATTCCATTTTTTCAAAAACTCTTTTCTTAGTTTTATTTCAATATATATACGGTCAATATATTCTTTTTATTCTGATGTTTTTATGCTTTCAGTACTTGTAGGAGCTACAGCAAGATTTTTGGATTTCTAGGTAGAGTAAATTGGTATTTGTTTTATCACCAAAACCCAAAAAAAGGTTAACAACATTAGTTTTCCAAAACAAATGAACAATGGTTTCCCTTTTCCTGTATCAGTTTCTGCAAGTAAAATCTGGCAAACATTCTTATTGATATATGTGTACCATTTTATACTTCTGTATACTTGTTTGTATCAACAGTTACCTCCCTTTGTATTAGATTCGTCAGTTGATACAGTAATACGTTCCTTTGGACACGTCTGTAAACCCTGTATGCATTCTACTTCAGTACAGCCTGCACTAACGGCCATAAGCTGACAAGGTGAAAGGAGAGGGAGCGTGGGTGAACATTGTCAGGTACAAGTGTTAAACATGTGACTGCATGTCCATACTGAAATTGTTGAAGTGTGCACGTGTAGGCCTAGATATATACGCTACGTACAAGCAGTTGGGTAGACGGGCGGCACAAGTAGCATACATACATAGGTCGATACGCTGACTGATATTCAGACTCACTGTGTTTTGTTTGCGTCCTAAGAATAACATCGAATGGCTCCGTTATCCGAAATTCAGCAGAAACACCAACAGTCTCCTTTAACCATTCATATTACAATGACATGTTTATGTTTAGTCTACTTAAATAATATCCAAAATGTGGAAAACTTCTTTCAGTACCATGGACAAAGTAAGCTGGGCTAAACTTTTTAAATTGGCATTTTATAAATCAACAAGTACAAATCTTCAGTGGTTCCAGTACAGATAAGTTTATCATGGACTATCAACTAATTTGGTTTTTTTTATTTTGAATTTGAGTAGTTATCTCCCGTCTTTGTGTAATTTGTAGCTCATAACCAGAGACAATTACACATTTGTCGTGGGAATGTAAAAAAGTAAAAAAACAATAATAAAAGCTATCTAATTCCATTTTAAGTATTTTTTTTTTTTTTTTTTTTTTGCACCATAACTCCCATCTCAGTAATCGAGTAGACAATGAAATTATCATCATAAAGCTATATTTTCAAATAATGAAATGTTCACATATGTCATTACATATAAATGCTCATGTTAACGTAATGAAAGATGATTACAGGATTTAAAAGTGCATTGCTAGTGGTTAAGTTGAAAAAAAGTTACTGGCAAAAATAGGGACAAGAAAATTAAATTATAGGATTAGATACGAAAGGTTTGTATAGACTAAGTGTTAGTCCTTCACTAAGTCTTCAGAAGATAACGTCATGGTGGATATCCTTGTTGTTTCTGCCATCTTATTTTCAGGTTTCATAATTTCCTCCTTTCTTTCCTATGTCTCTTTGTTTTTCCACTTTCCCATCCCCATTCATCTTATATACAGACAACCTGCATATGTTGTGTTTTTCCCCACAATGTTGGTCTAAACCCCAATGATCTTCCTCATAAAACCTCTAGCTCGGGTACTCTCTGTCTCCCTCCCCACTATTCTCTCTCTCCCCACTATTATCTCTCTCTGTCCCCCCCCCCCCCCCCCCCTCTCTCTCTCTCTCTCTCTCTCTCTCTCTCTCTCTCCAAAATACCGATCCTTGTATTATAAACATTAAGTTTGAATACCAACACTTGTACTATAAACACTGAGTTTGAATACCGATCTTTGACCAAGGAATGTAACTGTTGATACAAACCAGTATACAGAAGTATAAAATTGTACACATTATATTATATATCGACAAAATTAAGTTGTTTAATTGCAGAAACTGATCAAGGAAAATGGAAACCATTATTCATATTGTTTTCGAAAATCAATGTTATCACTTGCCGTACAGTCATACGGTAGGAAATGGAGATAAAACTCTGGTAATATCTTCAAAGTTGTGCCAAGATGCATGGTGTTCTGAAAGAGCAATCGTTCTCAGGCTTATCAATGACACCCGCCGTGTAAATGTTTGTCAATCCAAGTATTCTCAACTGAAAACGAGGTATATAAAACTGAACCAACAGGCAAACTAACGAGTGATTAATTCCGCACTCGGCTGACTGGGATGTAAACCTTGCTTCCACTCAATGCGTTCCGTGGCTGGTCGGTTTACCTGTTGGTTCCGTTGTTGTAAACCTTGTTCTCATTTGAGAACATGGAATAATTCACTTGGATCGACCAATATTTACGTGACGTCGATAAAGCTACTATTGACTTTTCTTTTTGCAAGAGTAACCGTGAAAATCGTTCTTTTGTTCATAGTTTTCCCTAGTTTTCTTGAATTTGAATTTGGATTATGACTTTTCTGACATGATGGTGTTTTATCATTATTTTCAATACAATGTATACTGCTAACTGATACGTGACCACTAGGTTTTATGAATACTGGATTATGACTTTTCTGACATGATGGTGTTTTATTATTATTTTCAATATAATGTATACTGCTAACTGATACGTGACCACTAGGTTTTATGAATACTGACCAACTACTGATAACAAGTGACATCTTGGTATGTGGTGTGAATGCAAAAGAGATAATCATTCTCCCTGCTGCAAGTATTTGTATTCAGAGAACCATTTAGGTATCTTGGTCTCTAGTTTATTCTTCAATATCTGGCTTTTGAAGT